TGGGTACGTCAGAGATATAAATTGAGAATCCAAAATTTAGGTTAGGTCAAATTATCCAAAAATTACTGTCCAATCACCAGAATAAGTCTTCACCATTTTCAATTTTCATAAAGTTGGCTCGCAAATTACATAAAACGAATAAAAAGGAACAAACAAATTAATTCTAAATTATTTAATAAAATAAATATTTTCAGAATCTCGAATCGTTTGGGAATTTTTGATTTAAGGAAGCTTTTATCATAAAGGTTATTCAATGAATTCAATAATAATTAAAAATACTTGTGAATTGTAAAATATCAAATTTTACCACGTCACAATTTATATTAAAAATAATTGAAATCCTTTGAAAAATTTTATTATTTATGAAAATAATTGAATCTTGTAACGAATTTTTTGAATTCTTTTTTAAAATAATTGAAATCCTATGAATAATTTGATTATTTATGAAAATAATTGGATTTTTTTGAGAAATATTGTATAAAAATAGATTTTGAAAATATTTTTATTTCAGTAAAGAATTTCATTATTTGTGAAATATAATTGAATTTTTCCAAAAAAATTTTGAGGAATTAAATTTGTATTAAAAATAATTGAAATCCTATGGAAAATTTTATTATTTATCAAAATAATTGAATCTTGCAACGAATTTTTAGAATTGTTTTAATTGAAATTCTGTGAAAAATTTTATTATTTATGAAAATAATTGAATTCTTACAACGAATTTTATTACATTTTTTTTTTAATAATTAAATTAAAGTAATAAATCAGAATTATAAGCAAAATATAATTGGTTTTTAAAATAAACTTTTTTAAAGCAAATTATAATTGGTTTTTAAAACAGGAATGAGTAATTTTAGTGTCGAGTGTTTCTTTCTGTAACAAGTGTAGAATTGTTTTTAGTGTTTCTTTTTTGTTTTGGTAAAACTGAAGGGAAGTTTGTGCTCGATGACTGTCCCTGCGATTGCTCACTGCTCTGACTCAGTAGACTGTGAACGCACCCTCGCTGCACACCTGTCCTCACCTTTACCATGGAACGCATCTCCCTGTAAAATCATAGCTTTCTCGTGTGAATCGACTAAATCCCAGTCGACCTCGGCCTCCCTCCTCTATTTAATACACAAACACACACACACCTTGTCAATTCTCTTCATAGGGCACCCTTCTTCGGACTCTATCGTTATTTCACAGTTCTCAAAGGAAAAACATATTCCACAATATTGTTAGGAGATAAAAATTATTTTTCATCAACTCTTTAATTGACCTTTCAAAGTTCCTTCCATTTTCTTCGTTGTACTCAAATTGATAATCCTCTTTTGAAAATTTCCCATCTCGAAGGAAGCAATTATTTCGTCTTTTCACTGCGGGAAAACGAAAACAAATTATTACTTTAATTTCTTGTTTATTATTTTTGGATTATTTCAGGTTGTAATAGTTTTTAAAAAGCAGGAGTCGAATACTATGTAAATGCTAGTACAGCGGGAATTAAAAAGAAAAATAAGGAAAAATTGGACATTTTTAACATACGGATACGAATTTCTTAGTCGATTATCGAAAAATGAATTTGGAAAGTTCGCCTTGCGAAGATATACCTGAAAAAAAGAGAAATAGGGAAGAAAATAAAAACTCTACCTGGTCAAAGAACTTGAATTCTTGGTGGGGCTCTAAAGCTCTAACCCACTCCCTGATTCCTATCCTATACAAGTCTTTTTTTCTCTCTCTCTCTCTCTCTTTCTCTCGTGTCTTCTCTCCCTCGCTCTCTTTGAAATGCCTACTCGCCAAGGGTGGAACGGCCTCCCAATGTCTGGAGCTCGTAGCAACGACCTAAAAACTCGACGTTTCGGTTCTCGTTCCATCTTTTATTTTCGGAGAATCACACAGTATTTTGTATTTTTCACTTTTCCACTTCTGCTTTCCAAAAGGAGCATCATCCAACTTTATATTCTTTATCTCGAAACGCTAGAAATAAAAGAAACATTAAAGTGCTTTGCAAAAAAGAAAAATTTCTCCTCACACAAATTTAGCAATTTTTTCTTCTTCTTTTTTATAGTTTTGAATTCGTAAATTAGTTCTATATTAATAAATAGCAAAGTGAATTTCTGTTTATGTTAATTAATAGCAAAGCTTCGAATTCGTAAATTTTTTTTCTATTTCACAGTATTTACCAATTTTGAACCAATTCAACAGTTTGTTGAATTTAATTTTAAAAAAAGTCAAGGAAAAAGAAAATAAAATTTTTCTGTCAACCCTGATTAGAGAAGACTCTAATATGATTTTTGAGACGAGGAATTTAAAAGGAAAAAAATTGCATAGGTGTGAAGTTTTTTTTTCGTGAGTCAAAGGTAGAATGTATGTGTGTGCAAGAGGAGATGAAAAAAAGAATGTTTTGAGAGAGAAAAAAAGAGCCACCCTTTTTTTTTGAATATACGGGTTTGAGTTCTTCGGACACACACACACTCTTTTTGGTTCCTAAGTTGGCAACAAGAATCTCTACACAAAGAGATATTCGGGCTTTCAAATAATGTTAGTCCTTTGCTGCTGTCTGGCCTCAGGTTAGTTACCTGTCCATGGGGCCCGACCAAGTCTGCACCTGGCCTTGCTTGACCTACCCCACATGAGTTGGAGGGAGAGAAATCACAAAGGAAGGAGAAATCCTCTGTTACCCACAGTCTCAAAACATACGCAGTAGTTTTACTTCAAATCGCAATCCCGTTTTATTAGCGTCAAATCCATTTTCACATTCCTTTTTTGCTATCATTTTATTTTTTTGCACTATTTCTCTCTTATTTTATCTATAAGTTTCTTTTGTTATTCCACTAACAGTACTTACACTACGTGCCCCTTTGATTTGAATTCTAATTTGAATATATTTCTCCCGATGTTTTTATTCCCGTTTCACTTTATTTATTGATTTATTGTTATTGAAAAGTATACGAAAGATTTTCGAAAACAATTTGACAGTTTGTTATGGTGAACATAACCTAGAAACTTTGAAACCGATTTCGATTCGATTTTCGAATCGATACTTCGAAAGAATCGATACTTCCAAAATCGATTTAAACTCCCGGAGTTCCGGACGAAAGGAAAAGATGGAAAAGATTATCAACGAACATGAATGAATTAAAAATTCTTTTATTTATTTAGATTATTTAGTAATGTAATGTTATCAAATTTAAAAATTTGTAGGTTAAATAAAAAGTCGAATTATAAATCTCAAATTTAGAATTTAATTGAATTGGATTTTTTCAAATTTGAATTTCGCGCCAGTTAGTTAAAAGGAAAAAAATAGTGGCAGCCCTTATGTCAATTGCCAACTTCAGGTAGTAGTGCTAATTTGTAAACTTTGTGAATACAAACAATCATAATTTGTCTCGAAGCTCGAAGGAAACAAATTATATTAATTAAAAACTGAAATTACATTATTCTAAGATGAAAAAGTGGAAATATCGTTAAGTAATAAAGCTAATAAGTTGATATTATGTCAAGCAGACATTAAGTAAGATTGAAATTACAGTAATTGACAGTTTCTCTGATGAATAGAGGTTATGTTGGCTAACAATTCAATTAAAATTGTTGTGATGACAAGAATACGTTGATCACGTTGATGATTGTCGCTTGAATCTAGTGATAGATTGGATCAAGAAGACTAGTATTTTCGGGTAATATATATTTTTTCTTTTTCTTGTCAATAGTTTTTTTAAGGGCATTGGGTGACATTGAAAATATTTCTCGATTGTTTTGCTTTTTAAACCCCCATTTTTTCTATATACTGTGTTGATTTGTGGTCGCTCGTCATGATTCCGTTATAATAAACACTTGTAGCTGAGTTCAACAGCTTGTGAAAGAATATCAGGAGAAAGAGAGGAAAATGTATTTGTGTATGGTGTATGTGTTTTTGAGAAGAGGGAGGTTAGAGAGCATAGAACGAGTTGAGTTTAATTAGTTTCCCCTGCTTACGTACAGGGAACTCGTTACAGTATCAACTTGACGTCAAACCATTGCTTACGACTCACCCAAGCACTACATTAGAGAATAATATGTGCATCCAACACTTATGACTCTATTTTACTTGCTGGGGAAATTATTCTGAAAATTTCTATACTCTTGGTTAATATCTCATTTTTTTACAGTTTCTCCTTTTCTTTAATGGAAAAAAAGTTCAATAATCATTTTATTTATTAGGTAGGAAAAAATTATTTTTTTAATAAATAATAATTTTTCTTTCTTTGAATTTAATTTACTAAATAAAATTTAAAAAGAAGGAATTTCTTTTTGGTGAATAGATGACAAAGTGTGAATTTTTTTTATGGGTCAAATCTGAAAATTGAAATGGAAATTGTGTTGGGAGTGTTCGATGTATAAATTTTTGCTAAAGTGATTTGATCGCGTGGCAAATGGGGGGTAAAAATTTGGATTTTTTTTCCATTCTCATAAAGTTGTACACACACGCAACGTGGTGAGCCAAATTGCCTGCTCATATATGCCCTTACGGTAATTGGCGGCGGCAAATTGAGCAACGCACAGTGTTTCTTTCTCTCCCTCCCTCTCTCTTCTCACAACGTAATTGTATCCACTCTCCAACAGAATACCTGTTTTACCTTTCTTTTCTGCTCGAATTACCTTTCGCTTCCATATGGGCATTTAATTTAACCAATTATAATATTTTGATTTCAGTGAAAATCAATATCTCCCATTTAATTTATGATCTCTGGCCATTTTACTTTTTATCGCATCTGTTTTGTATTTTTTTTTTGTCGCATTCTTTTTTTAGTCTTCTGTACTATTTTTCTCTGGTAAATTAAGTAACTAATTTTCTATACGAATGATTGAAAAAAATGAAGGAATAAAATAAATAAAATAAAGAAATTAATAAAATAAAAAAATAAAAAGAATGAAATAAATAAAATAATAAAAAAGTAAATATAGTAGTAAAAATATAGTATTAAAAAAATGAACACTAATTTTTCGAATTATCGACTAATTTGAATTTATTTATTTTTCAGGCCCGAGGAGACAATGACAAGAACAAGGTACATAAAAATATTTCCAAAAATTATAATAAAAATATTTTTTGCATACGTACGTGTTGGAAAATTTAACATTGATTTTATTTTGGAATTTTTCGGTTTATTTCCTGAAAATATTATTTATTGTATACCGGAATAATTTATAATTTGATTTTTAAAACAATTATTTTACGGATATAAAGCGATTAAGTAAAATTTTTTTTATTCGTAATTCAAGTTGAATTTTTTCTTTTTATTTGAAATAAATAAATTCAATCATAATATTGAAAATAAATTTTAAAAAAATAAAAAATCCATTATTATTGTTACGTAAATTTCGTAATTCAATGAACAAAAAAAGTGATGTAAATTTTCCAACAGTGTCAAATATTGAACGTAAACATATAAGGTAAATGACCTAGAATTTTATTCAATTTCAAAATGTTTTCAAAATAAAAATGATAAATGTAGAATTCAAAAAATGTTAATGAATTTTTTTAAGTTCGTTATTTTAGATACTGAATTAATTTAAAATTTATAATTGAATTTATTCTTTTTATATAAATTCACATTTTCTTTTTTGTAATTTAATATTTATTTTTATATACGTAATTATTTTATTTTTATTCTTATTTATTTAATTTTATATTCGAATTTAAATAGTTTTAATTTTATATTCAAATTTAAATAGTTTTAATTTTATATTCGAATTTAAATAGTTTTAATTTGATACATAATTAAATTTTAATTTATTAATTGATGGAAAAATTATATAATTCACTGTTAGTGGGTCATTTACTTTTTTACGTTTAATAAATAATAACGAATATTATTGCGAACTTTTGTTAATTTAAGGATATATAATGAGCAAGTGAAATCTGAAACAGTTGGAGAAACGGCGAACGTAGGTCTTAATAATTATTTTTTATTAATTTTTACATGAGAAAAAGAAAAAACGTAAGTTTAAAGTATAATCTTGATGGTCATCAGATAAAAGAGAGATCTTCGAAGGAAAAACAATTAAAAACATATCACCAACACTATTTCATTAACACAATCAAATTTCAAAAAGTCGTTTAATTTTAAACAAAGGTTTTAAACATTTTCCAGTTTTTTTTTTAATAAATAACAGTAATAAAAGTGAAAAATAATTATAATAATAACAGCAATTATATTTAATTTACTTTTTTAAAAATTTTTTCCAAATAAATGAATTCAATTTCTAAACATTCTTGTTCTTAATTTGTTATTATTGTTTTTTACTTTTAATATTTATTTATTAAAAGTTTAGATTAATTTTTTTTTATTATTTAGTAAAATTTGTAGAATTTTGTTAAATTTTCGTTATTTCGTTGTTGAGAAAAAAAAGATTATGAATTCGTTGCGCACGTCCAAATGTCTGAGGTTTTTCAAAATTTGTCATATTATTTCTTAAAAAATCAAATTCAAAGTTTTGCATCATTCAAAATTTAAAAATATTTTTTGGCCAAACAATAAATTCTCTGACATTTACGCGATTTTTCAGGAAACAAAAACGCTGTACATGTTGTATCGAGCGCGAAGAGCCTCTTAAAAATAATGTGCCAAAAAATGGCACTAAGAGGTACGTAAATTTTTTTCGATCAAAATTTATCTTTACTTTATTTTTTTTTCTTTTTTGGGTTCTTTTTTTTGGATATAGTAATTTTATACAAAAAAAATTGTTTAAAACCATTTTTATATCTATAAATATATACACGTAGTAATAAATCCAGGCATCAAACTAACACAGACAATATACTGGAAATATTATAATGTGGAGAGTGAATTTAATTCTATTTTTAGAATTTCTCGAGGGTAATTTCATCCCCTATGAATGAATCCATTAAGATAGAAGCGCACTATTGACTCAGAAAACATGAAACGGTTGTTCTTTGACATAGAGTGGGAAAAAAAAGTGGGAGACAATGTGTAGGAGAACTCATTGTCAGAATGAAAATAAGGTCGAATGGAAAAAAGAATTGTATCAAAAATTCATAATTGGGTTTTTGGTTATCTTTTATTGGTACAGTTTTAAGGTTTTTTTTTTGGTTAATAATCTTGCTGCTTTTTTCCTTTTTGAGTTCAATGAAAATTGAAATTTGTATTTCTACTTTTAAATAAGTATTTTTTACTTAAATGGTGTTTGGTTAAATTTTCCAAATATTTACAGTTTTTTGGAAATAATTTTGAATTAAGAAATATTTATTGCAATCTGGAAATTAATTTTCTTATTTATCAAAATATTTCGATAAAAATTAATCAATATTACTATTATCGAAAAAAATATTTATTTGGTGCAAATAATTTTTATTGACACATTTTTTATTAATAAATTATTATTAATTATTATTAATAACTCATTAATAAATTAATAATAACTAATTTATTTAATTATTAATAATTTATTTATTTAATTAATATAAAGAAATCGGAGTTAGTAAAAAGTCTAGTAATTTAAATTAGTCAACAGTTTCACTAACTTTTATTAAATAGTTTTAGTAAAATTTTACTTTTTCTCTATTTTATGCTAAATTTATTTAGTTGAAAATGTTTTTATACTAAAATTTAGTGGGAAAAAAAATTTTTACTGATTTTAATAAGTGAACGACGTTTTACTAATTCAGATTTACAGAGAAAAATAAACTTGAGGTAAATCAATAATTTCTGCACTTGAAGAAAAATATGATTTGACTTAGAAATTATTTGTTACAAATAAATATTTTAATTTGAAATTCTCCTAAAGATTTGAACGTTTAAATGAACAAAAAAAATTTTTTTCAAATATTTTTAAAAATTAGTAGAAAAAAATTAAAATAATTAGGTATATTTAAATATTTAGTTAGTTTAGAATAAATTTTTTTTCACATATATGAAATCATTTTTTTTTTTTTTTTTTAGTAAAATATAAATTAAAAAAACGAAAGAAAAAAATGTCGTTTATTTGAACGATCGATTTGTAAATAATAAAATTCAAGTTTTGAATTCGGAATATTTCGATTTAAATAATAAATATTTGAATTTTATTTTATTTAAATTAATTTTATTTAGTAAAAATAGATTTTATTTGTTTGGGAATTTTTTAATATTGCTACGTATTCATATTGAATTTTGAATATTTCAATTCGAAATATATTTTCATTTAATTATTTATTTAAATTTTTATTTTGGTCGAATAAATTTTATTTGCTTCAAATTTTCTAAATATTTTGATTCAAATGAACTTTTGAATATTTTTAATGGAAAAAAATTCGATTTTTAATTATTAATATTTCAATTTTGTATTCAAATTAAATTTCGAATTCGAAATATTTCAATTTAAATATCTAGTTAAAATTTGAATTTTATTTTGTACAAATAAATTTTATTTGTTTTAAATTTTCTAAATATTTTGATTCAAATAAACTTTTCAATATTTTTAATAGAAATATTTCAATTTTAATTATTAATATTTCAATTATATTTTCTAAATATTTGAATTTCGAAGTATTTCAATTTAAACGAATATTTGAATTTTTGTTTAAATAAATTTTATTTGAAATATAGATTTTATCGGTTCTATTAAATATTTTTTTAAGTTTTAGTAAATATTTTTGTTTAAAGTAAACTTTGACGATTTTAATTCGGAATATTTCAATTTAAGTAATTAATATTATATTTCTATTTGATTCAAATAAATTTCCATTTGGTGTAAATAAATTTTACTTGCTTCAAATACAATTTTACTCGCTTTAAATACAATTTTATTTGATCAAATTATGTTTGATTCAAATAAAATTTTTCTCTCAGTGAAAAATTTTTTTTTTCCTATTCAATTAACAGGAAATATTTTCATTTGCAAATTGTAAATTATAGTAAAAATTTTAACTAATCTGAAATATTTTTTTTCTTTCATGGAAAATAAATTTTTACCTGGAACAACGATAAGTTTCTCTAAAATAACGAAAGTGTTAATTGTATTAATTGTAACAACTAAAAATTTCGCTAATATAGTAAAATTTGTAGCTGTTTTAGATAAAGATTTTTTTCCTTGCTCCTAATATTTTATCTCGTGAATAAATTTGTTTTCCCGCATAAGTTGATTCCCTTTTCTTATATACGTCACTATTTTTCGCTCCCTTATTTCTATGAATGAATCCAATTTATTGATCTAGAAAAATGAGAAAAGTCTTGTCATGACGATCGAAGAGTTTTCTTCTTTTCTTCTCCCCTTGACAAAATGTTGATGATGAGGGTTTGGTGTATAGAAAATAGGAATTATAATAATAAGTATAATAGGGGAGAGAATATTTTTTCCACCCGAGCGTTGACGTAGAAATAAATTCTTGGTCTTGTTGGGGGCTCGTCGTCGGCGTTCTCGTCGTTTGTCGTCTTCTTCGTCATCATTCAGTCAGTCACTAGGTTAACTTACGTAATTTCAGTCGGCTCTCACTCTGTTTTGTGTTGGGGGCAGTGGAGGCGGTTATAGAATAGGCGAGGTGAAGGTGGCAGAAGGACGAAGGGGGGGGTGAGCGGCCGGCTTTACGAATTGGGTCAATCAATACCACGAAGCTATATGGGTCAGGTGCACTACGCTCTGTATATGACCAGGCAACCCCCGGAACACTTCCGCCCACCACCCCTTCACCCTCCTCTCTTTCTCTCCCACGACCCTTGCTTACCTCCCCTCTCGCCCTCCAGTGACCATCTCCTCTAGATTCTATTCTCTCGACGGTCCACCCTCGCCTCCGGGTTGTACTGCTCGCCTCACAATCAGTTTAATCCAATTTCGGTGTTAAGAAACTGTTTCCAAGGGAGGGGGAGTATTTTACCTTTTTTTTTTGGTTTGGAAAAAATTATTTTTATCCTTCTTGGATTCATTTACTAAAAATAAAGGCGAATTGCAAAAAAGAGAGAGAGAAAAAGAGAAACAATTGTTCTATTTGGAAAATTAAATCGATTTTTTGGTGTGCTACTACTTTCGCTGACATTGGCCGGGAAAGAAACTCTCGGATTCAAGGCGGCGCAGCACAGCGTTTGTAGGTTTCGAGGTTGAGGTGGAAGTTGAGATTAAAATGGAGGTTGGATTAAAATGAAGAGTTTTAAGGTGAACGTCTCCTGGAGTTGGGCAAATTAAATCAGAGGAATTTTTCTTTTTTGATTTTCTTTATTATTTTAGGAAGTTTTTTTTTTTGGTTTTTGAGAAAGGAGGGAAAATTATTATTTTTGGCAACAAAAAAAAATAGGGTAAAATCCCAGCGATTGATAAATTCGGGCCCTGGATAGTGTGACTTATTTTAGTAAAATTCGTCGAAACAATTAAATTATTTTCCTTAATTTTAATAAATAATAATATAAATGAAAAATAAATATCTTCGTTAGAATTGAATTATTTTTATAAATAAGAAAATTCCTTGCAGAAGTTCAATTATATTCTAGAAAACTTTAATAAATATCTTCGAAAGAATTCAATTATTTTCAATACAATTTTAATAAAATTTCCTGAATGAATTCAATTATTTTTGAAAATTTGAATATTTTTCGAAAGAATTCTATTATTTTTTGAAAAATTTAATATTTTCTAAAAGAATTCAATTATTTAAAAAAAAAAATTTAATAAATATCTTCTAAAGAATTGAATTATTTTTGTAAATGAAATATTCTTCGCAGGAATTCAATTATTTTTAATACAATTTAATTATTTTCAAAAATTTTAATATTTTCCAAAAGAATTAAATTATTTAAAGAAACTTATTAATAAATATTTTTCAAAAAATTGAATTATTTTTATAAATTAAATATTCTTCGTAGGAATTCAATTATTTTCAATACAATTTTAATTTTTTTTTAAAGAATTCAATTATTTAAAAAAATTTCATTAAATATCTTCGAAAGAATTCAATTATTTTTATAAATAAAATATTCTTCTCAGGAACTCAATTTTTTTCAGTATAATTTTAATAAAATTTCTTGAAAGGATTCAATTATTTTTGAAAATTTTAAACTTTTTCGAAAGAATTGAATTATTTAATAAACTTTCATTAAATATCTTCGAAAAAATTGAATAGTAAAAGTTTTTGTTATTTATGAAAATAATTTAATGTTTGCCTAGAATTTTATCAACACTTTTTTTAAATTATTGAATTTCTTTAAAAAATGTTTATTAAAATAGCAGTTATTGAAAATCATTAAGAACTGAGGAAAATTTTTGAAAATAATTAAATTCTGCACTATAAATTTGAATTAGTAAAAATATTTACTAATTATAATTAATGACGGACTATTTGTTTTTAAATTAGTAAATTTTTCTAATAAATAGTAATAATTCTTTGTAAAATTCAATTATTTTTTGAAAATTTCTTCATGAGAATTCAATTATTTATATAAATAATAATTTTCTTTGAAAGAATTCAATGATTTTTATTAAATAATAAAATATTCTTCACAGGAAGTTAATTTGCTTTTAGAAATTTTAATAAAATTATTCGAAAGAAGTCAATTATTTTCAAAATAGTTGAATTTCAAAAAAAAAAAAAAATTATAATTGTAATTTTTAGAAATAATTAGTTTTTTTATTATTGAAATAGAATTTTATGTTGTAAAATA